TACGCTACAACCAACCATACAAATTTGTCTCGGTTCTTTTTGTTATTGATTGTCTTAAGTGAGTATAGTATGATACAACTTCCAAAGTGCTATATAAATTTTTTAAAAATAAAGAATAAACCATACTGGATTCTTTGGAGTTTGTATCATGCTAATGTTGTTAAATTACCAATACTGTAGTACTAAAGTAGTAGATTTTTTTTATCTTTTCCCAACTCAAAAAATTACCTCTTTAATATATACATTTTTTTAAATGTATGGCCTCTCAAATCAATTAAATAACAAATGTAAATGCTTAGAATGCTGGACACCCACCGGGGTTTTGGCCCTGGACCCCCTGGACCCCTGGTGACCCCTGGCCCCAGCCAATGGTGCTCGCAAGTGCCCTTTCAGTATCAAAAAGGACCCCCCCCTACCAAAATCCTGGCTACGGGCTTGTTGATCAATGCGGGCTCTCATCGTTGTGATTGGGAGAGCTTACAGGAGCTTGTGTCTGTGGTGCGCCCCATACTAGACGAGCAGATTTAGATGAAAAATATACCTTCAGTCAAACAAACTGCAAAAGTTTGTTTTATTGTTGATTCTGGATTCTAGGGTTGTGGTAAATGACATATCCAAAATGGGACGTGAGTTTCCACCCAGGACACACCTAATTCCGCCATTAGGTAAAGAAAAATCGATTATTTACAATAAACTGCATCTACAAATTTGATCATGACAAGTAAAGTGTTCATACCTATGTTTTCAGGGTTAGAGAATATTATTAGCATATTTGTGAATTATTACATGCATATAATTATGCTAATATCCAAATTAACGTCTGCGATTACAAGAAAAGTGATTTTACGCAGTTATTTTGTGTCTTAAGCTTTAATAATGACAAATAAAGTATCCAAAGCCTTGTTTTCAGTTTAGTAAGTATGATTAGCATGTCTGTCAATTAATTATATGTACAGGAGGCCTGCGGTATATAGCCATGTTAAATATGCAAATTAGCTTCCGGCATCAAAGGAAATTGATTATTCACAATAACTCTGCATCTAAGCATTCAAACATGTCAAGTAAAGTGTCCATACCTATGTTTTCAAGGTTGGTGAATATCATTAGCATATTTTGTGAAATAATTATATGCATATAATTATTTTATTCATGACATATATATTATCCCAAGCCATGTTTTCAGGGTTAGGGAGTATGGTTAGTAATCTGTGAATTAAATGCAGATGAGGACTATATAGCTATGTTAAATATGTAAATTAGCTTCCGCTATTAAAGGAAATTGTATCTAAGCATCCAATCATTACAAATAAATTGTCCAAACCATATTTTCAAGGTTGGAGAATGATAAGCACATATGAATTGTACACATATAATTATTTTAAAATGCAAATTACGGTTCCTGTTGTCATTAAAAAAAATGAATTGCACAATAACTCTGTATCAAGCATCTAATAATATAAAGTGTTTTGACCCAGGTTTTAATGGGTAAAGAAATAGAATTAGCAACATTTTGTGGATTAATTGTACATTAAATTGAGAAAAGATTGTCATATAGTTTGTTGATAGATATTGTAATAATATGTAATAAAAAAAAACATGTGGATACCTCCATAGTCTGCTTCATATATCTCAGTTATATCAGTACGCAAACTCATAATGGATTTGTCCATCTTGAAACTTTTTCAGCAGTGGCAAAACCTTCCGTTTTTCTTACATGAACAGATCATTGCCCCGAAATCTCCGACGTTTTAAATTTTCAGGAGTGATATTTTAAATTTGAAGAATGAAAATTCTAGGACTAGGTACTAATAATACTCTCTGATTACACACTTGGTTATCAGGAGCACTCGCGGTAACTGAGGTGCATTAAAAACATATTTATAAATACATTTAGATACGGTAAAATGCACTAAAAGAGACAGTAAAGGTGCACACTCCACATTGAAATACAAATACATTAAATACTATAAAATAAATTAAAAATTAATAGACCCTACACTAGTAATTTACAGTACAGGACAATGAAAGAAAATTTACGATACGTTTATTAAAATATCTTTAAAAATTCAGGAATTTCCCTATATTTTAAAAGAATATAATATTGTTATAAGAGTTAGGTTCATCAATGCCTTCTTTAGGTCTTGCAGGAAATAATTATCGAGTGCAATGTGGGGTATATACTGTACTGTATAAATAAAGGTTAAAACACAAATGGTTTGTTTATTCTTCGCAGACAATGTTATGTCGAACTAGGATTGCAGTCTATGGAGGCAATTTAGAATTGCCAATGGGGCCAGTTTCCCCTCTAGCTATTGCATTATGTTCCTTTCATGTAACAAGGCCTACATAAAGAGGACATTGAAAAAAGAAGTGAACGGAGCATATTTTCCAGCTCATTGTTGTATATATAAAAAAAAAAGAATTGGTGAAAAAACACAGCTTGGTTAACTCCTTGTCATTCAAAGAAATCGGTATCAAAAGTTAATATGTACTTTTAACATTTTCATACAAATTATTTAAGGTCATCCAGACTTTACCTCTTATACCAACCTTGCTGTAAGCCAGTTAGTAATTTGTCATGCCACACAGAATCAAATGCTTTATGGAAGGTATGCTGATTCACTTTTTCAGAAAATTCATTGCAGGAAGATCTTATTTTTCTACCCCGTATCTCTAATGGTCACGCTAGTAATGCATGCATACTAATGGTAATCGGAACTTCGTCAAGTATATCAAGAGCGCCTCTCAAATGCCAGTTCTAAACTAATCAAGAAAATTAGTGGCACGTAAAACAATTGAAAAAAAAACACAGTAATCAACGATTACTCCTCCAAAAACCTAAATATTATTGAGGGGCCCGCTGACTGGTTTAAATTAGAACTAGAGGTTGGGACAAGTATGGAGACAAATGAGGCGAGGTTTAGCGTCAATGTGGTGAAGAGCCTCAAGAGTGTAGACATTCAAAGACTACCACCTAACGAAGGTGCTGCCAAGTAAAATTAATACAGAGTTTATTTAAGACTCACGTATGGATAGGAAACATAGAACTAATACCTGAAAATTGGGTATAGAATGTTTGGTGTTGATGATTATTATGCAAGGATATATTTTGCCACTAAACTGTACTGAAAATATATGGAGTAGGCTTAGTAGCCACATGTTATAGATTACATATTGATATGTTACAGGCACTTATCAAGAAAATATATGACAATCTCTTTTTTTTTTTAATTTAGGCCTATGTAAGTTTAATTTACAATTAATCCACAAAATGTTGCTAATTGTATTCCTTCAACCATTAAAACTTTGGTCCAGACACTTTATATCATTAGATGCAGATTTATATTGTGCATTTTTTTTAATTTGTGATGACAACAGGTACCGTAACTTGCATTTAAAATAATTGTATCTGTACAATTATTTAATAAATTTGCTAATTATTTTGCAACACTTAAAATATAAGTATGAATAACTTATTTGTTGATTGAATGCGTATGATGCAGAGTTATTGCAAAATAATCGATTTTCCTTTAATGACGGACGCTAATTTGCATGTTTAACATAGCTATAATAGGCCTCTCGTGCATATAATTTATTCACAGATGTAATAACAATACTCCTAAACCTGAAAAACATGGCTTTGAATACTTTATTTGTGATGAATGAATGCTTAAGGCATAATTAATAACTGTGCAAATCAATTTTCTTGTAATGGCTGCTGCTTTGCATATTTAACATCATTATATACATATTTTTAATTCAGAAATAGGCTAATAATATTCTCTAACCTTGAAAAAATGAGTATGAACACATTACTTCAATCTCGGTTTAATGTTTAAATGCAGAGTAATTGCGAATAATCAATTTTCCATTAATGGCGGAAGCTAATTTGCATGTTTATGCAAATTAGGTGACTTATGGGTTAAAATTCGCGTCCCATTTTGAATATGTCATTCAGCACAACCTTATAAACCAGAATCAAATAAAACAAACTTTTACAATTTGTTTGACTCAACCTTATAAACCAGAATCAAATAAAACAAACTTTTACAATTTGTTTGACTCAAGGCTCTAAATCTGCTAGTCTGTTAAAGAAATGTTATGTTACAATAGAATACACAACCTCTCATTCTCTTTACACACAATTATTACTAAGTATAACATTTTTAACCTAGTTTCCAAGAGATCCCCATCTGCATCCATCGCTATCACAATCCTGAACAACAATAACTTCTCCCAGTCCCGTACCCTCTGCAAAGGTTCACGGACTGTGTGTTTGTCATAGGAATCTTGTGGTTGGAAAGGAGAGACTGCGCCTTAAGCACCATTGGTGAAGATGTGCGCTTTATAAATCTTTATTATTATTATTATTATTATTATTATTATTATTATTATTATTATTATTATAATTATTATTATTATTATTATTATTATTATTATTATTATTATTATTATTAATATTATTATTATTATTATTATTATTATTATTATTATTATTATTATGATGAAAAAAAATCTGAAAACAAGATATATTTTGATAAATTTTATCTCACAGGCACTTCGGATGAAGTCAGCATAATAATCACAATCCTGAATGTTAATGAGCCACCAGAGTGGACTATGGCGTATGAGCCGTACCTTGCCGTTACTAAGCTGAACGTAGTGAACGGCGTCAACATTTACACACTTTCGGCGCAAGATCCTGAGGACCCAAGTGCAGAGATCGTGTATGAGCTCTTCATTGGTAAGGTCGCACCTCGCTCTTGTAACATGCCTTTCTCGGATACAAAATTTACATATAATAATAAGGCCTATGTGTCATAATAAATACTATATCCTATAAAAATGCAGAGCAAATAATATTCAGAATCAATTATTTGTTATTTTGTTATTTGTTTAACAGACGAAAGCAAGATGTTTGCTGTTAATCCAGTAACAGGCTATGTATATATTGACAAACATTCTGGGGCTTCTTTTGAAGACAATAAGGAATACACTTTAACTGTAACTGTCTATGAAAAATCTGACATGTCCATGGGCAACTCAGCCGATGTTAAAGTGAAGGTGGGAGAGCGCCCTCCTCAGTTCCCCAGAGAATCGTATACTGTGACAATTTCGGAGGACGCTAGTGTTCCAGTAAAGTACGTTCATAAGCAATCATGAATTATGCTATGTTTAATGTTTTTATTATTATTATTATTATTATTATTATTATTGTTATTATAATTATACAAATATATATATATATAGGCCTATGTATATATATAGGCCTACATATATGTATATATATATATATATATATATATATATATATATATATATAATTTATTATAATAAATTCATTTAAAGGCATGGGAAAAACCCTCCAGAAACACCAAGGGGAATAATGCAATGAATAATATAAATTGAAACGTAACAGAAGAGGAATCTGACAAAGGAAGAAAAAAAAACTCAGCCTCCACCACAGGACTCGAACCTGGGACCTTCCGCATACATGGCGAACATCATAACCACTTGATCACAAATGCACTGTGGTATTTCAAGCGTTCTGTAGAATCTGAGTTCATTCTTTTAAGGTGTCTGACGTCGCCATTTTGATGCAGCACTATTATCGCACGTGGCCAAACTAGTCAGAGATCTATATAGACATTAGAATATATATATATATATATATATATATATATATATATATTATAATCACGCAAAATTAGGTGCCATCATGTCAATCGGTAAAGGGTTGCGATTTCAGACTTTTAGGCCTACGTTTTTAATTTAACAAACACAGAATGGTGCATATGGGATAGATTATGGCGTCAATGTAGAAAACCACTTATAAGTTGAGTATTATTATGATTATCACAATATTATAAAAAGTTGTAACAATGCATGCTAATTTTTTAGCCTAATTACCGTAAACGCAAAATCGTTTGATCGCTTGGAAACTGTATCATATACAATTGAAGAGCAGCCTACAGGAATTGATCACGTGATTGATAAGCAAGGGGTAATAACTCTGGAAACGAAACTAGACAGAGAAACATTCGGCAGCTATGTGCTCAGAATAAAGGCAGCTGATAGCCATGGCGAAAGTATATCTGTGGTAGGTAGTTATTATTAACACATGCAATCGGTTCACAGGGCATGGGAGCTGGAAGGCTCACTTCTCTTGACATTTCCAAACCCATAACGTACAGTAGTCGGAACCAAGATTCTGAAACTTAACTGCGTGCTGTCCTACACAATGCATTGTTGTGTTTTGTATCTACCCATTTAAATAGAAGAAAAAAAACCCCACCGATGACGCGCACCCAATGTATCTGAAATTGTTCATATAGAAATATTACGAGAATAATAGGCCCTATAAATGTATGAGATTGCTCATACGTTCGTATTATTCTCGTAGTATTTCTGGTGTCGAATTCAGATAGAAGGCCGATATAAAAATATTATATTTAATTATTATGCAGATGGGCTGTTTGGGTTTCTAAATGAGGAGACTATAACTAAAGGGGGGGGGGGGCTTCCCAGAATGCTAATTTTAATGAAATGTATGTACTTCACAATTTAAAAATCAGGAATGTTTATAGACATAACTAGACAAAACATAGATGTTTATAGACATACACAATGACGTCACACTAAACTTTTCTAAAGTTTGACACTTAATTCCGATTGGTTGATCCTACTAAACAGGTACACGTTAATATACTGGATGTTAATGACAATGGTCCTGTGTTCACTCAGTTCATTTACCATTTTCGAGATATTTCGGAAGGTGTTGGTCTTGATACTAGTGTTGGCCAAGGTAAGTCCAACAACATCTTACTTGCGATGTAATGATGTAATAGTATGCAGTCGTCTTGGGCAAACTACTAATCACAAAGTCTGGGTGCACCAAGACTTTGTGATTAGTAGATTGCCCAAGACGACTGTATTCAGGCCTACCACTTAGTATGTGCATGGTTTATACCTCCATGGTATGTGTAGGATAGCTAGGCCTTGGCTTGACCAGCCTGCCCTGGCTTGACACTAGCTTTGTCCAGCACCTAGGTCTAGGCTAGGTCTGGATGAGCAAGGCCTACCATAGGTGGTGGCCAGTAAGCCTAGTGTAGAGTAGGCTTTAGCTGGGCAATACCTAAGCTAGGTGGGGCTAGGTTCTATGACCTGCTTAGGCCTAGCCCAATTTTTCATTATGATTTATCTGATGATTATGAAAATCATCATTAAAATAATGTAATAAAACCTAAATTTATTTTAATTTTTACAAAGTTGTTGTCAGTGATGGAGATGGCGAGTTTTATGGATCAGTTTTACTGTCAATTCCGGTTGGGGAACCATTCAGAATCAATGAGGATGGTAATATTTATCCTACAAGCAAGTTGGATTATGAATCTAATCCTGTGTACGATTTTGTGATCACTGCTGTTGACCTTGGTGGTTATTCAAGTACAGCATCAGTTCGGATTGATCTCTTGAATATTAATGACATGAGCCCGATATTTAGTGAGTCTAGCTATGCGTTTGATGTTGATGATACAGTCGAGGAAGGTTACAAGATCAATACCGTTTATGCATCCGACCCAGATGGTGATTTGGTGACATTTTCTATTGAATCATGCAGTCAATGCCTGTTTGTTATCGATAGCAAGACAGGTAAATCAAAAGCCACTTTTTATGCAATTTTCCAGTACAGTCTAATCTATAGTGTCCGACATAAATTGAATAACATAATTATAACATAGTACATTGAAATGCTTGCCATGGTTATCATCATCTTTATATCACTCACATCTTAACCATCAACGTCATTCATGTCATCTTTACTCAACATCCTCATACTTTGAGCTCACAGAGAAATCTTTGTCAGTCAGGCCTCATTCATTGGTAAACAAATTTTTGTTTACAAAAAGCAAACAAAGAACCATATGTTATTTTGTTTAGATTTTAGGTTGTTTGATTTGTTACCACAACCTAACTTTGTCTTTACATCATGTCTTCCTTAGGTGTTATCAGCCGCTCATCTGTGTCTGATAATCTGGATAAAGCTTCGTACAGTTTTACTGTTGTAGCAAGTGATAATGGTACTTGCTGTTCGGGTGCTGTAACCAATTCTGCTAAAACAAACGTAACTATAACTATCAACGACATTAACGATAATGTTCCTGTGTTTCCTGATTGCAATTCTTACTCCCCGTCTATTCCAGAAGGATCGCCAAGACTGTCATCAGTCCTCATAGTAAGAAAAAAAAATTCATACATGCAATTTTTACAATGTTTTTATAAATGTTGAATTACTTATGTGTACAAGTGTTGCAATTTTGGTGCACTAAGGAAAAAAAGCCTCTATTCTTTTTTTGTACGCAAGGACATTTTAGCACAGTAAAATAAGGACGATTTTGTGAGAACAACTTTGCTAGCAGTTTAGCTAAGCGTAAATAGGCCTGCCGCATGTGAGATCAGTTTGCTCAGCAGCACATTAAAGAATGCAGTACACTCTTCGGAAAAGAAAAGAGCAGGGGATTGTCTCCCTGTGTATTGCCCATTCACCACCAGAAGTACCCCACTGGAAATAAGTCTTTTTCAGACTTTCGTGGGTTATGCTTGGTCTTTACACCGAATGAAACCCATTCATCCACTGTGAATTTGGCTTATTAATTTGTTCTAGGTTACAGCCACCGATGCTGATCCAGGTGTAAATGGGGAGATAACATTTGAACTAAAAGAGAACGACTTAAAACGAGGCTATTTTGAAATTGAAGATCTTGGTAGTGGTCAAGGCTTATTAAAAACAAGAAGGGAATTTGATCGGGAGGTAGATGAATCATTTTCGCTGACGTTGCTAGCGGAGGATTCTGCTAAATATGGGCTGACAGGTTTCTGCCAGATAACAGTTATTGTCAATGATACAAATGATGAATTTCCTGAGTTGAGCCCAAGTCAAGGTAAGGCAAGACCCCTTTTTTAAATATGTTATCACAGAAGTGAACTAAAGAATCACTCAATAGGGTGCATGCCTCGGTTCTTTCCCTGAATACTGGATAATATGCACAAGGCTGGATAGACAATTCTATTCTTTTTTTTTATTCTTGAGGTGCAAGTTCCAAGAAAACTTTTGAATTTCTGTGACCTTGACCTTGTCCCAATGTTTTCACCTAAAAATTTAGTCACCTTATATCAATATGTACCATTCATTAGTTTTGTGTAATCTTGGACAGATGGACAAACAGCAATTAATACATAACCTTAATATATATATATAAACAAATGTAGTCAGAATTTGAAATAATTAAGAAAATATTTGTATTTCAGAGTGTGTCAAAGCCATATAAATACAGTAAAGTAGCATCAAAGAACCTAAATACCTAAATAAAAGAGTACTTTGGAGTACATGTAATTAGTTTTGATGGTGCAAAATTTTCCATCCAGTTTCATTAATATTAATACAAATTTATGATGCACAAAAAAAAGTAGATCGATAAATGTTTTAAATTTCATTCTTTTCATAAGTGACCATTCCACGCTCACTACCAGTGAACAGTGTTGTAACAAATATAGAGGCATTTGATCCAGACCTGGAAGACATTCAGAAAGGTCTGATATACTCGTTGGAGGACCCTAGCAATGAGTTTTATTTGGATGCAGATGGTACTCTTAGAGTTAGATCTTCACTTGCTTCAGCTCCATCGGTAAATAATATTCTTCATAACCAATTCAGCCTATTAAAGCCCTGTCCAGACTATCAAATTTTATTTTGACAAAAACATGTGACATGCTTACAAAGGGTCATGACAACATGACCTCATGACCATATATGGGCATACAACAAACAGTTTTTTGTCATAGAAAATTTGATAGTGTAGACCAAGCTTTAGACTTGTTTTGATTTACTGTAATGCCAAGGATACATTGTGTACCTTGTTTCCATGGAAACCTCAGAATGCAGAATGAGGCACATGTGACAACAATCTGGTCAGACTGATAATCGATAGGCGGTTGTGTTGTCAAGCACTCGCAGGTCGGAGTTGGATTTACTATGAATCTTCCGATGCAGTGTTTAACATTTCTACTTTACTGTATTTAAGTCAGTCTATGGCGTAAAAGCATGGGCTTGGGCAGCAGTCTTGGCAGTAGGTATCTTTGATGCAAATTACCCCCTCCTCACCTTATTAGATTATTTTACGGTAGCTTTGCAAAAAAGCATTTGATTTTATTATTTACATTTCCTTTCATTTCTCATAAAACAATGCTTACAAAACAAAAACCAAAATTACAATTGAAAACAGTACTGAGATGTGTATAAGAGACAGGTATTGCCCATTCACCACCAGAAGTACCCCACTGGAAATAAGTCTTTTTCAGACTTTCGTGGGTTATGCTTGGTCTTTACACCGAATGAAACCCATTCATCCACTGTGAATTTGGCTTATACGGTTGAAATCACTCTTATTGATGGACAAGTGGATGCTCCCACCTTTACAGTACAGCAACTCATTGTTGATGTACCTGAGGATAAGCCAATAGGTGAAGAGGTATTCACAGTTACAGCGACTTCACCCGATCAATCAACAATAATATACATCATAATTCCTGGTAATACTCCTGAAAGAAATAATCCCAGACAATTTACGATTGACCAATATACAGGTTCTGTGACCGTGTTTGGTGATAACTTGGATTATGAAAAAGTGCAAAGGTACCGTGTTGTTAAATCTCTTTTCACAGATTGTGACAGCTGCAAAAATGTTTTGTTGCGCAGTACTATCTACACAGCATGCGATAACTGATCACCTACCCAGTGTCTGCATTTGGGTTTGCCATCTGCATGTTCAGCGTGATTGGCCAGAATATTTTTCTTTAGTACTGCAAAAGTTTCTGGAAATATTAACAATTATTTTATGCTGAGCAACATGTTGCTCTGTTTGCATAAATTTCACTTTATAACACCTCTCAATTTAGTACTATGTAAATGAGCTGTCTCCCTTCACAATTGCTAAAAGGGCCTGACCAGTCACTCAGATGCTGAAGTTAGAGCATTGTGCAATATTATACCTAAAAAGTAATTGTTTGCCGGCCCTACAGAAATGATTTATAGTATGGAGCAGGTGAATAAAATATATTTTTTTTAATGTTTCTTTTTGTATGGTACTTTTACCATGTATTTGAGGTAGAGTAACAGGCAGGCGGAATTTTGGGGTTTTTTTGGGTTGGGGTGGGGGGGCTGGAAATCATTGAAAACAACACAGTAGTACAGTCAGTAACACATAAGTATGGCTCTTCAAAATTGTGATCATAGGCTGAATAACTAACTTATGACGATTATTTACATAAACAATGGTTCTAGCTTCATACATTCATCAGAACACATTGATTGATTAACTCTTATTCCCATGTAGGCAAAACATATAAAAGGTTTTGACAGGCTAAGAGCTAAGTCCTGGAGAGTACATTTTTATCCCATTAGCATAACTCTTTCCAGGTGATTTAACACAGGCTTCCCATCTAGACATTTAGTTACTTCCTATGCTGATTTATTATTTTTTTCGGATATTTAGGGCGAAGTTGGAGGACAATTAAACAACTTTTTTGTAGGCCTTATAGTAGTACCTTCATTAAAATTCAGTATTGAACAGTCAATAGATACAATAAATAATCAGCAAGAAACCCCTTCAGCTTAAAAAGGGTCAGATGAGTCAAGTCAACTGCCAACCTTCAATTAATTCTTTAATTTTTTTTCAAGTTATGATCTCCTGATTCAAGCAATTGATTCAAATACCCAATTAGCAAGCTACCTGACTGTAGTAGTCAACATCGAGGATAGAAATGATCAAACACCAGAATTTGACTTGAGTGAGTATGTAGCAAACATTGAGGAGGGAGACTACACAGGTCAAAATAAACTAGTGGTGACAGTGCATGCTGAGGATGCTGATACAGTACCAGACTATAAGAAGGTAAGCCACTATAGCCAACAAAATATCACCAACCAGAATTAATCTTTTCAGATGTGCGCCCAGTCATGTTAGTTTTTAATCAGCCAATTTTCTTCAACCATTTTGCAACGTCATGCTTTCATCCATCATTCCCCACAAAATAACTTTCCTGTGTATGCAATTCTGTTATTGTGTTAAAAAGAAAGTTTCTGATTAAAGCATAGTAGGTTGATGTGCATCAACCCTCAAATTCATGAATATTGTTATTAGTGATTTTATGTTTAAAGGTATAAAACTATATATGAATTTAAAATAGCTTAGCGATTAAGATGCTTGCCTTCTAATCGAAGGGTCCTTACAAATATTACAACTATTTCAAAAATTTATTTATTTAAATCAGATGAAAAATTAGGTGAAGTTAGGTGAGTCCACAATGTAACAGGTGACATTATCAGGTTTAGGGATGAGTCCCTTGGCCCACACAAGATCTGATTGATTTTTAGGTGGAATGATTTTAAGCAAAGTTTAAATAGAAATTACAGGCTCTGTGGATTTTGACAGAATTAAAAACAATGTTATATTACAGGTACTTTACGAACAGGATCCAATGGAATATAATTCTTTATTTGATGTTAATCAAGCCAATGGAGAAATAAGAACAAGCGGGACATTTGACCGAGAAAATAATGCATTGTATCTAATCTATATCCTAGCGAAAGATAATGCCCCTTCTTCAATTTCACCAAGTGAACCAAATATAGGTAAAAGCTATTCATTTTCTTTTCTTTAGTCACATATTCAGTTTTGACAAACTAAGTATGGTATTGACTGACATTTTTGATTTTCATTTTACAACCATGATTAAAGTGAATGGCTTTAGTGTTTAAAATGGTATAATAGCAGGTGGCGTGTCATTATGCAATAAAGTGGTGGATTTGATTTAGAAATTAGGCCGTCATTTCAGTTCACAAATCCGCTTGGATATGCTAGTCACTGTCATGGTTCTACTGTACAGTGTGTAAAAGTAAAATTATAGAATTTGTTAATTGCTAGTCTGCTAGACTAGCAATGGTGATTCTTTTTCTGTGTTTAGACCTTTTTTTCAATCTTATACCACAAGTCTTCTCAACTGTCAGTCGAGTGTATACCGTAACTATTCTTTGTTTGTTAAAACTAAAAGGTATAATCTTCATTTCATTAAACAAGATGTATTTGCTTGAAATTCTCATTATTCCTTTATTTTTTCCCTGATTTGTATCAATCCCCTGTGTCCTTGAGCAAAAACACTGTATCTGTGTTTCTCTCTACCCAGGATTATCAGTGGCATATTCAGGAAGAGGGAGGGGTTGTTAACTGTGCTTATGAGCAATTTACCCCTTTTTGTTCAAGTGTAAAAACAAAATAGTAAATTAATAGGGAAATTTTACCAAATATATTTACTTTAACATTAACATCCAATCATTTGTTAATTTAAATCATATATTATTTCATTTTTGGTTAATTCAGTAAATGATGCACATTCATCACAGCTTCAATAATATTATTTGCCTTTGAGGTCAGCCACCTATTTTATCCTTATCGCAAAGATTCAGGAAAGTATAAAGGTAAAAGGTAGGGGAACACTGCTTTGAAAAGGCATTTTTTGCAGTCTCAGAGTGCCATTTTAGGGTATCTATTCTTAAAATTTTTTCTCCATGGGTGCGGCTGAGCTGCATGTGGACTCGGACCGACACTGGTATTTAACACCCCTCTTTCCAAAATTCTGGATACGCCATTGATTTTAAATGGTTACTGGCATATGGTTGGCTACACCGACTCGTGTTGGATGAGTAACAAATAACCCAGAATATTGCACTGTCAGCGCCACAAGTGCCAAGGAAAGAGAGAGATGGACACTTCAGCCTGTGAGCCCATAGCTGTGCTTTTATGTTTACATTTACCTTATTACTAAACTGAAACTTAACAAACAAGATTAAGATGACTAATTATGTGCAGGAACATAACAATGGTGCTGCTCTTCATATCAAATGATGATGCCCCTGCATCACTGATCTGCATTCCTGTAAACTGCTTTCATGACAGTGGTAGTGCAATGTAATGATGGTGTTAACATTATATAATACTGTTCTTATAATTCAATTTTTTTTTTTTAACTTTGCAGCTAAAATTATAGTAACGGTCCATATCATTGATAGGAATGATAATAATCCGACATTTCCGAATGTTGCGTATTCAGCTAATGTTGCTGAGAATGCCAAAAGTGGATACTCCATTGAAACGATCACTGCTGTTGATATTGATGAAGGTAGAGTAGGAAGAATTGTTTTTGGAATTCAAACATTTATTTTAACTGCATTGTTACCGTATTAATGAATCAATAAATATTTAAATTTCTCTAAAGTTGAAAGATCAGTTTATAATTATTTTTATAGCTTATATGATAATTAATAGACATAAAATATAGTCCTTATTCATCTATAACATTCTAGCTATAAAGGCAATTAATTTTCATTTCCTTTAAATTCTTAATTTGTATTTGTTGCACAAAATAAAATATTCCTTTCAAAAAAAGTTCCGTAGTTTACTCTTAGTTTGCCATTAAACAACTGTAAACAGTGTTGTTGATTGCTATTAATACTATGTTTTTTTTTTATATCTATTACGTAACCTCTAATTTGTGACCTTGTGTTCTCAGATAGTGTATTGAACTACCTGATTGCTGGTGGCAGTACATTACCCGGTATGTTACCATACCAGAGTGCTGTATTTCAGGTAGATTCTGAGACAGGAACTATAAAGGTCGCAGCTAGCCTAGACTTTGAAGCAGTTCAGACCTATGAGCTGGATTATATTGTTACCGATGGTTTGCATGAGGACACTACAAGACTTACCATCAACATCCTGGATACAAATGACAATTCACCTGAGTTTGATGACGAGGTTTATAGAAGCTCAATTACAGAAGAGGAAGATAGTGTAGCCTTCCCATTTGATGTTTTAACAGTATGTTGCTTAAATTTTGATTAAGGCTTACTTGTTACTTGTTTGGAGTGCCAAGTTTCCCATGAGTCACAGGAATCTCCAGTAAATCAGCACAGTCTTGTGCACTCTTGCATGCCAGTAGAAACTAATACATCGTCTGTAAATGCTTGCATGTTATTACTACTTTATTAATAGTTGTCAGCTGAAAATTGGTATCACAAGGCATAGAAAAATACAATTATATGTGGTTAGAATGCTCATTAAACCAGGTCTCCTGTAAGTGGTTTTTCCAACTTGGAATCCCTGTTTTTGCCTTGTTTCGATCAAGAGCTGGAAGTAGACATTTCATTTGAGAAAATTATATGTGTATATATACAGACTTCCAACCGTATTGCTTGTTGCACTTTGAGACTTTTGTATAAAGTGCTATATAAATTTAACTAAATGATATTTCTACAAATTGTAATTTATGCCAGAAGAGGGCATTAATGGACACTGGTCAGGACAATTCCTCTTTCATATGTTGCATGATATTATTTACATGATCATTATTCTTGGCCTCCTGATCCAAGTTTACTTGTTCTCTCTAGGTTCTTATTTACCACACACCTATGTTTCGTCATATTGAAAATTTATTCACTATCAATAATATGCACTTTTTTTCAAACAGGTGTCAGCAACAGATGCTGATGCTGATTCTGGAGCAATCCTGTATTCCCTCAAAGGACACGACAGTAATTACTTTGCAATTGATTCAACATCTGGAATGATAACACTTCTTCGATATTTAGACTATGAATACAAAACAGAATGGCATTTCATTGCTGAAGCAACAGATGAAAACGGAGCAGGACTGACTGGCGTCGCTGATGTGCTCATCTCAGTGACTGACATCAATGATAATCCTCCTGAATTTAACCAGGCATCATATGAAGGTGAAATAGCAGAAGATGCTGGTGAGTGTTGTGGTTTATTAGTAAAGTGCACAGACTCCATTCATAGAGTCATATGTTCAACTCCTATGCATGTCAAAAAATGAGTGAAAACTTAACTTCTGGAGCAGATTGCTATAATATGGTCTTAATTGTTAGTCTCATAAAACAGCAAACAAGCACTCCCTGGTAACATAAAATTAAAGGCGCTGTTACGCTCGCTCAAAACATGCATATGTATCAAAATGAACATAAATAAACGTAGACCGATTTTTGCAGATGCTGAGAAGCTTGCGGAATATTCGTCCCTGGATTCTTAGTCGGACTCTCTAGGCACTATTTTCACTTTTAGTATAAACATGTTATATCGTCATTGCGGACTTACAAAATCCGCATACGCCTTAAAACTAAAAGAAAATGCATACTTTTGGAGTCCGTACTGAGCCCAAAAAATCCGCAATGAAAATATAACATGTATATATGTTTTTGGGGACTCTTTTATGATTGGCCATTTTCAGATTTTTGTATTCTGAATTTCACCAAAATTCAATGTCAGCCTACTTTTCACTACACATATTACATTTTGAACACAGAATTCAAGCAATATAGTATTGAAACATTTTATTTTTAACTACTGATTGTAAAGAAAAAATGTGACAACCTACTTGCTTTTCAACCACCTACTTAAAAAAAAAGCTAACCGTCAACCGGAAATGCCTTTTATTGTGTAGTTGTATTCCTGCCAGTTCCTTATTTCTGGTTACGTTGGAACATTTTACTTTTATAATTGACAAAAAAAATACATGCCATGTATTTGTGTTTAAATGGAAATGTTATGCAAATAGTCAATGGTGTACTTAGCGTCACATGTTTAAATATAAAGATCCATTAAAAATATTCCCCATCAGTTCCCAAAAACTGAAGTTAGTACATATAAACTGCTGTACACATTAACTGTACTTGCACTACTTTTGAATATGTATCACACAGCTTGTGTTCTGCCTACGGTATATGGTAGACCAAATCTTTAAATGGTCCTCATATCTGCACCCTACCTCCGATCGTGACCAAAATATAAACACTTCTTCATTAAAACATGAATAACTATTCAGGAAAACGTCATTTTGAACCATTGATCCATTCTAAAGATATTTAAGTCTGGGACCTAATGGCCCTCACATGCACACCCGATTTCGGATCATTACCAACACTTCAAAATTTCTTCCTTGTAGCTTGGTTAAACTTTCACGAAACTTTAATACTGAGCAAATGAGAAAAAAAGACAAACTGGTACTGTATTATCCAGTTAAATGTGTTTAATGACAGTTGTGTATCATATTTCTTTTTAATTTGTAACTGTTGATTTAAATGTTGGAATAAAGGTGACTTGTCACAGAAAGAAAAAAAAAACTTTAATTCAGACATTTTTGAAATATCTGGTGTAGAGTGTTTGCTCTTAAATCCCTTTAATTGTTCCTCACATCCACACCCTAGTCTGGACCATCACCACAATTTAATCATTTCTTTATTGGGACATATCTAATACTCCCTGTTGTTTTCATTTATATAAAGTATGTGCAGCCGTTTTTGAGATAAATCAAACACAAGAAAACTACACTAAACATGAAAATGTTAACACACACACACACACACACGTCTACACGACTGAAAACATATATCATATGCAACCCATTACGTAAATTTTGTTTCTGAAATTGATAGAGAACTTTTACAATAACAATTTCAAATAAAATAATTACATAATATGTTTTATTTATAATAAATACACAATATGCATTTTTCTTGTAGTTATTGGCGCATATGTGATGACAGTGAGTGCTACAGATGCAGACTCGCCACCTCAGTCAAACAATAAATATAGCCTTGAACCAGTGTCTGATTTGCCTAGCGATGGAACTGATGGGATTTCTACGTTCAGAATAGGGCTGGATGATGGTAAAATCTTTACGACAATTGAACTGAATCGTGAGGCAATTGACAAATACTATGTGCTGGTAAAAGCCGAGGATCAATCTATCTCCCAGTCAGGTATTATTTTTTGGAATAATAATAATAATAATAATGATAACAATAATAATAGTATTAATAAAAATAGTAGTAATAAGTAATGGTGCTTTTTTATCAAGCAGTGATTGTGTTAAATGCTTCAATATATATTTTTTTAAATCTAACAAATGAAAAGAAAAAGATTGATAGGTCAAGGAAAGTTGTTCAACATATAATAAAATCACAACACTGTCTGGAATTTATGAAAAAGATGTTACTCTTAAAATACTTAAAATCATGAATAATCCTACACATCCCCTACACAGTTGTTGCAGCCTAGATTTGGAATTAGATTCTGCCCACCTCATACACATATCGTTACAGAAACTCATTTGTGCCAAACTTGGTTCACATGGATAACTATGGTAAATTCTCAAATAAGCGCTGTTCTCGAATAAGCACCCCAGCCCTTAATCGAGAGCATATATTACCCTGTGTGTAATGAAACACTTTGAGAAACATGGTTTTAAATACAATGTATACAGTGGTAAAATAAATAAATAACACAATGAAGACACGAGCATTTCTTTATAAACATTTATTTACAATGCCTACCGAACTACAGTAATATATTATGTGAAATAGGTAACATGGGAACGAACATGGAAAGCACCACACCAATATATTTTTATAAGTGGCACTCTTGAATATAGGCACCGCTCTCGAATAAACGCGGCACTGAAGGCTCAAAAAATTTTATAAGCGTCACAATGCTTATTCAAGCATTTACATTATAAAGTTATTAGAAAATAACTTCTTTACCTTTTCACAAATTTAACTGCATTTATTATACCAAATTTTAAATGCTTAACTTTTGATTACAATCGTTTTACAAGTTTTAATGTTAACGTTTTAATGTTATCACTTTATTTACTTGGTCTTGTGGTTTATGGTTCACTATATGTCCTTTGCAATTTTAATTTTTTTTTTTTTTTATGTTTTACGTTTTTAAATTTGAAAAGCTGTACATCCAAAAATGTCTTTGTTTTATATGACAAATAAAATTTCATGTATCTTAATAATTAAGGGGTAAGTTTAATTTAAGAAAGAAGATTTTCAAATATTCGAATTCCTGTATCTATGACCTATTTTCACCATAAAATATAATAACCTCTTCATTAAATCAATATGATGAGTTTACCAGTACAAACATTTTGGAAATCTGCACAAGTTATTTTCTCAAAATGTACCACTTCACAAGATTTTATGATGATCTATTCATTAGTTTTTGTATTTTATTTTCAGCTACTGCTACCGCAACAATTATCGTCTTAGATGTGAATGACAATGGTCCGGAATTTTACTTAGAACCTTACAGTCAATCAGTTATAGAGTCGCTTCCTGTTGGCGATACAGTTGTGGATATTTTTGCGACTGATGAAGATATCGGAGTTAATACAGAATTAGAATTTACATTTTTGTCTGGGAATGAAGGGTCAGAGTTTGGAATTACTCGGAACCCAGTAAATAGGCAAAATGCTGTGATCTACTTAATGAAAGTAAGGTTAATATGTGGTAATTACTCTGTATAATTATTTTTTAATTTCAAATACTAAAATGGCATACACTTTTCAGACTAAAAGTAGATTGTTTAATCAAGTTTAGAATTGTAAGTGAATAAGTAAACACATAATAAGTTAAAATATCTACAATACATTACAGAAATAGCTTATCACAATATCATGGAAATAATAAATTGGCTAAAACCCTCAAAAATTTAATCAACACTTTAATCTGTGACTAAAAATGATCTTCCTGTCTGTTCAGGAACTGGATTTTGAGACAACAGTTAAGTACGATCTGGTTATTGAAGCAAGTGATCAGGTTTTCACTGACACTGCCACTGCTACAATCAACGTACTGAATGTAAATGAAGCACCAGTGTTCAGAGAAGAAACATATGTCAAAAGTGTTGAGGAGAATAGTATATCAAATCCATTCATCGAAGTGTCAGCTTCAGATGTAGAAGGAAATAGTATAAGGTAGGAATGAGAAGGAAGAAGTGTGATAGTGCTAAATAGTGTGTAGTTTTATATAGCACCATATCCATCCTATATAAGATTCTCAGGGCACTTGATATGTGGACTAGGAACTCGATCAATGACATTCTTCACCCCTAAGGGTCCCTTCATATCTGTGTTACCTAGTAACCCGGTACCAGCATCTCTCTTCATCCACCACAGGGGCTGTCTGTTCCAGTACACCGGGATATCCGCTTACTCGCCTCGAAGGACGTACTGGGTTCTTTATATTCACGTAAGGCATTGTATACACTGGGCTTATGGTTTAAAGTCCTTATCCGAGAAGACTTTTTCTACCATCAGAACCATAGGCAAGCATGCCGTTCGATATTATCGGTGATCTTTTTAATATCTTATTCTAAAGCACTGGGTAATTTTTAATGGTCTGTAAAGTATTTTGAAAAAAAAGTCAGCGAATAAGATATTTTTTGTGACATCTTGTACATGATTTATAGATTCATCTGAATACATTTTATTTGATTCTAATTTACAATTATTGTATCTCAACATGTACTGTATACAAGTATACATAATACTGTATTAATGTAAAAACATTAAATCCACAATATACCAATGCTCAGATATTTTAACTTGAAATTATGTATTTTCAATTAGTTATGAAATCGACCCAGCTACCAATGTAGGGAAATGGCTGACCATTAATTCAGACACAAGAATTGTAACTCAAGATAACCCATTTGACCGGGAAGACAGTCCTATTCACAATTTCAGAGTCTGGGCAATAGATAATGGTAAGGAATCTTATATCATTAAATTAACATGTATCGTGGCTTCAGGTTCAAACAACCTAAGGCTACATATAATTACAATATTGTGGTAAGTCCAGGTACACTACATAAAAAATGAAGCTCATAATAAAACATAAAAAAGATAGAATACAATACTGTACATAAAAAAAATATGTTTTGATATTTAGTACATAAAAAAAATATGTTTTGATATTTTGTCACCTTTATGATTTTTGGGGGAGAATGAATTTATCCAACATGGCATTTTACTTCCTCCCCCCAGGGAGCCCACGTGCAACTGGCTCTTGCACAATAAGTGTCACAGTGACCGATGTCGATGATGAATGTCCACGTCTCGTGGAAGACTACAGACCAAAGGCAATGGAGAACCAAAAGCCACCTCAGTTAGTTGAGATTATAACAGCAATGGATCCAGATGAGGGTGATCAAACACCGTATACATTCAGTATTGTTAACGGTTATGTCATGAAAGGACAGTATACCGTCAGTGAAGCATTTCAGTTGACAACTATCAGTGGTACGATATGCCAAGTTTTTACATTACTTTCTCTATAAATAATATTTCCACTATAATTAATTGTTTCACGTAGCAGGAAAGGTTGCTAAATTTTACCTACATATCCTATGTAAATTTTTTCATGTGTAAATTGGGTATGAGTTAAACAAGAGTTTTTTTTTAGTCGAAATAAAATATGAAATTGCAGGATTTGAACCCAGGACATATGGATTAAAAATATTAGTCCCAGCAAATAACAATGTAAATGTAACATTGTTGTTTGCATTTGAAATATATCGAAAGTAATTAAATTTCATGGTGGCCCAAAAACAAACTCTAATCATTGATAATTATTATGGAGTGAATTGCTTTCTTAATCATTGCTATCACTTTCACAGAGACATTAGCAGTAATTAAAACCCTCAAGGAAATTGACCGGGAATCACAGAAATTTTATGAAATGGGGATCAAAACTGAGGACAAATGGGGTATATCATGTACTTCAACTGTAACAATTGAAATTGGGGATGAGAACGACAATCCGCATCAAGCTGGTGAAAAATCAATGTCTTTCTTTACATATGAAGGTAATATTTTTATTGTTAAAGCCAAGTACCGATATGTAAACGCCTAAACTTCAAAATTATTCTTCTCACTCATAAATGCATACAGTATATAGCCTGTATATGGCTACGCTCCACACTATCTTTCTTCATCAATCTCACAACAATTATCTCCACGTTCCACAAGACAGTCAAATTCTCTCAGGTTATCTGTCCCCAGAGTGCTGCATGTTCGTGCTGGCGAACGGTCTTTCTCTTTTGCCGCTCCGAAATTATGGAACTCTCTTCCACCTAATCTTAGATCAACTTCTGATACTAATGCATTCAAGACCACCCTTAAAACCTATCTCTTTAATCAATAACTCTTTTATCTTTAAGCGCCAGTGACAAAAAATTATTTTTTTAACAGGCGCTATACAAATTCTCTAATTTGTTATTCATAAGTACACGGCGCACTCGAGGTGCGCAACTATTGACAAATCGTTTAGACTGCCACTGACATTCAGGAGACAGCATCACATGTCATGTGCTCACAGAGTCTCGGAGACCAAAGGTGGATTCTTTGGCCGACGGTTGTCCAACCATTTGTCCCACCAGACAGATGTAAATTTTAACATATCAATTAATGACTAAGTTTTAGTCAGAACATTTTCACTTGATCCATTCTTTGTTGCACAGGTGGCACATCCACAGGTGTGGGGACAATTCCTGTAGGACCGGTTAACTCACCTGATCCTGATGACAATGATCTGGATGAAAAAACATTTTCCAAGCTTAATGAAGATGATTGGGATTTCTTTGATGTTAGTATTAACATGATATACATACATCTTAAATTGTTTTTTGCAGAATTATAATAATAAAAAGTAAGACATGGTCCATTCCATCCATTCACTATATTTAAGGCCTGGGTCTACTCTGCCTAGTCTTTTGTTAATCAAAATCACTTGCCATATTTATCAGTAATTACCTACAGACTTTAGTTTTAAGTGTTTTGTTTTACAAAAATTATCTTAAAGATTGATGTTTGGAGTCACCATGCAATTGACTTTGTTTATATTTTTTATTTCAACAGTATCACTTTTGATTTGTGTAATTTGTTTTCTTATTCAGCTTGACACTGACACTGGGGTTATCCTGATAAAAGAAGGTACTCCAAATGGAATCTATGAAATGGAGATCCTAGTGCAAGATAATAAGTTCCCAGACCAGACATCCACGGTGACCGTTACAGTTACTGACCTGCCAGAGGAAGCTGTCTATAACTCAGGTTCTATGAGAATGTCTGGTGACCCTCAGTTCAATGCAGCAGAGTTTGTTCGGGAACCGAACAGCATCTATAGCACCCTGCGAACTACCCTAGCTGAAATTCTTGGAACGCCGGAAGGCAATGTGGATGTTTTTAGTGTTATGGATGTTGAAGGTAAAAGCAATATGGTCGATGTTCGCTACTCAGCTCATGGGTCACCTTACTATAAAGCAGAAAGAATGGATATGGCAGTGAGGGCTAATCAGCAGAAGGTATTTCTTTCTTTAATTTCTTTAGACTTTTTTCAACAAGAAATAGATTTAAAGACATCATTCGTTTCGTTTTTTATTTTCCATCATCAATAACTTATATTTGCATTTCAAAAGATTAAAAAAATGTTATTTTTTGTTGAGAAATGAAAGGAGGCCTATATAGGTCTGAATACAATTAAGCTTAGGCTATAACTTACGCTTAGTCCACAAAACTTAAGCTTAAGACATGACACTTAGGCATTAATGGTGTACAAATGTAATTTGTTTTTAATGTGGCTTGTATCCTGTAAAAGAATCAAAAGACTAGCAATCATAAATTGCAGATCTCAGTCACTGAATTATCATAATAAAATAAATTTCCACCAGGTGCAAGATGCCACTGGACTTGATCTGGAAATGATAGGAATTGATGCCTGTTACCATGATGAAGGGGTTTGCGAAGGCTCCTGCTACAACAACTACACCGTCACCAAAGAACCATATCTTATCGATTTGCAAACGCAGTCGTTCACAGGAATAACGACCTACACTACTGCTGCTTGTGGGTGTGCCGGAAGAGAAGTCTTTCCGGATGGATGCACATACGATACATGTATGAATGGAGGTACATGCACACCTACTAATTACGGTGGATTCAGGTAATATTATCATTTGTTTTGGCTACGTGTGATGATACACGTGACCATTTAACTATAGAGACAATTAGTAATACAGTACTCATCTCCCACTTTCATGAGAGATAGTTCCCAGCAATGTTTGCTTGTTTTCAGACTACAGGTATTCCTATGCAACTCCGACACCTTGATAACATTTTGGGATCCTGTATTCTATTAAGCAGATTCGTATTATGATAGGTTTCATTAGATAACTAAACATATCTTTTGAAAATACAATGCTCTAAATTAATTTTACAGTTACTGTATTGTACTACAACTTATGAAATGTATTTGGCGGTCGATGAGACAAAAATGTTGCAGACAAAAAATTGGCTGCAATAGTTGACCCATAACAAACATAAATAGAAATCATTTTTGTGAAATCATGTGACATATTCTTTCCTATGAAACATAAATACAAAACACAAATGATAATGATGGTTATGTGTGACTTTTTACTTCCTTTTAGGTACCTAAACCCAATTTAAAATGCTCTATCAAGCCTCATTGTGAAGCTTAAGAAGTAAATTTATTTTTAAGATGTTTTGTATGTTTCACAGCTGTACATGTCCTACTGGGTTTGAAGGTGGAAGATGCGAGATGACAAAGCGCAGCTTTGAGGGAGGGAAAAGCTACGCTTGGGTGGAGACACTTGAACAGTGTGAAGAGACAGTTGCCTCGATAGAGTTCATTACTGATGTATTGGATGGCACTCTGTTTTACAATGGGCCAATGCAAAAAAATGCAAACCAGAGGGATTTTATTCTGCTTGAGTTAGTGGGAGGTCGGCCTAGACTACAGCTGAATCTTGGAGATAATACTGCTGAACTGGCCTTCAGCAGCAACGATTTAAATCAATTGAATGATAAGGTTTGGCATACCTTGAAAATCAGAAGAAATGCCCAGGTAAAGAACATAATAATATACCATATCTTAACAATTATAAAGCCAATTCCAAGCTTTCTGAATTGAAAAGGTTTTTCTTCCTGGGCAATGTTCAATCAGTTAACTTCAATCAGTGTTTACTGTAGGCACATGTCTAATTTGACCAAAATTAATCCAATGCACACAGCTAAAACTACTTGCTACAAGACTTTTTTCTTTCCATTAATTACTTTTGATTTCATTATGAATGAAACTTTAGTAAACACTACTTTTTGGGTTGTCATACAATCATTTAAATAATTTAATTATTATTATGTCTTAAGATAAAGCATGAATTATTTCCATATGTAATAATTTAGGTTTTCTATTTCAATGTGCTTGCTTAAAGATAAATTTTTTAAATGATGTTTGAAAAAATTGAAATATGTTCGAATTTACAGTATGTAGAGATGGTTGTGGATCACTGCAAGTCAGCAGTTGTAGTAGAAAACAGTGGAAAGAGCACTATTGATGCGACAAGCTGTATGGTCAACAAAACTGTACCAGGAAACAGGTAAAGTTCATTTCATTGTCTTAATTTTGTGTTGGTTCTAAGCATATAAATGCATATATGGTAATCAATATATTTGTTTTAAATCTTTAGCAAGCTTCTGAATTTGAACACACCACTCCAAATTGGTGGAGTAGACACAGAGTCTCCTTGGGTGTATGACCATCTGGATTCAACCCCATCTGGATTTGACGGGTGTGTTCGAAATCTGATTCAGGATGGAAAATTGTATGATTTAAGTGATAACAACGTAGGAACGTCATTCTACAATTCACAACAAGGTTGCACTCGTACCAATGAAAATTGCATCGACAACACGGACGGAACATCATTGTGTAAGAATGGTATTTGTGATGCAGATACCAAGACTGGAGTATGTATCTGCTACCCAGGATACACCGGAGATAAATGTGATCAAGGTAACTTTTTTTTGTGTCGTTAACATGTACAAACAGGTGCTTACATTTGTGCTATCGTTTTAGGGGATCTTGGCAACAATATCCAAGGGACAGAACTTACTGGAACAGTCCATTAAAGGCCCCTCCAGATAAAGGCTACATCTAAGACCTAAACAGCAATCTTTCATTTTAATGATAATACATTTTCTACTTACACATCTAAAGCTTAAAGACCACAAAAAAACCTGGTCCCAAAAAATTTTATTGGAAGAGGCCAGTACTTGAATTTATAATCTTTAAACTTTATATACATTTTAATAATGGTTCTTTTTCATTCTTACAGAGACAACACCGTATGACTTTGCATTAAACAGCTTTGTTGATTACACTGTGAAACCTGCTGCTGAACTGGACCCATCAGGATATGAAGAACATTACCACTCAGTGGTTCGAACGTGGAAAGAAACCGGACTTGTGTGGTACATTGCTAACCTGGACACAGGGGAACACACTACTATCGATGTGAGCTGCAATGCTTTGTAATATTTGAAAAACGGATTAATTTAAATAAGAATTGTTCAGTCTTAAATATGAAAAGAAGAAAATTTGAAGGTGAATATTAATTAAGACCATTATAAACTATTTTTTTTTTTTTTATAATTCAGTTGTATTATTTACTTTTTAGATGGTTGATGGTACGTTGAGGCTTCGCTATAACCATGGAGAAGGTGAATATAGCATGAGCCTTCCCAACTACAGAATCAATAATGGAGCATGGCACAGTGTTGAGTATGATCGCTATGGTAACTATGTGACGTTGAAAGTTGACAGAGGTGGTGGAACTAGACAGGTGGAAGGATCTCCTGGAACGTACCAGCATATTATAGTGAGTCCAGAGTCTCTACGAATTGGTGATTTATTCGGGAATGAAGTTATACTGCAGGACTTCCAAGGTACTTTACACCTTCATTAATTTTGCCATTGTGATGTCTCTTTATGAGTTGTTTTAATGGTCAATTGATTTGTAAAGCTTTGTCTCCACACTCAAATTTTAGGTGATAAATATCTGTGATATGCCAGTAATGATGTAATATATGATATCATCATGCCCATGTACAGGAAAATCACAAATTTATCACATAGAATTTGATAGTCTGGACAGAGCATTATAGCCTGGTTCTCACGAGAGCAGCCCTAGTATCCGGGAGCTAACCATTAGCACCTGCGTGAGAACGCCTGATCGGTTAGCGCTAACCGTTAGCAGTATCTGGATACCGCTAACGGTTAGCAAGCGCTATCCGTTAGCAAGTTGAGTGTGTTTTTTATAATCAACCAATCACACGTACGCGTTTACAATTTCCAGTTTCTTATTGGCCAGTGATTCGATCATCATATTTTTGGTATCCGGGATCGGGATTTTTTTTCGTATGGACGCATGGCAGCTAACAGTTAGCAGGATCCGGATCCTGCTAACCGTTAGCAGCCGTGTGAGAACATAGCATCAGTGTATTTTGTGTGTGCATTATAATCTGGTATTCGTAGTGTTAACTGGAGAAAATAAATATTATTTTTATTAATCTTACATAAATGATTTCATTAAACTTTGTAACACTGAGTAATATATTAGAAAATTGTTAATATATTATAATTATAGTTATTTATTTATTATCATTGTCATCAATTTTTGCTATTGTTTTTGTTATTGTTATTTTCTTATATTTTTATGTTATATAACATTATGTTATATTTGTTATTGCAATTCAGTGACTTAACAGCTTTCACATTCTTAGCTGAATGAACTTATATCTAAGTTTTATAATATGATACTTTATGATGCTAATTAAAACATTTAATTTGATATTTCCTTACTTTTGATTATAATTTGTCATAAATTTTCTTCTCTTATCAAAGGTTGTGTGAATGATCCACGAATTAATAACCACTACTTAGGCTTCTCATCTTCTTCATACGCTGATGTGACATCGTCGAATAATGTCACTGAGGGTTGCATAAGTGATGCATGCGATGGCGTGACTTGCGATCCTCCATTTGTTTGCAATGACATATGGCAACAATATGAATGCATGTGAGTTATTAACTTCTCTATTTGCCAAGTATTGTATATTATAGCGGTACATATGTAGAAATAGAATAAACTGAAAGAGCAAACTATAAATAAAAGTCTGTCATCCTCATCCAAATTTAGTTTTCTTTTGCTTAAGTGCGAATTTGTGTAATAATAATAATAATAATAATACTTCCATTCTTCTATGGTGCATTCTGCAAAAGGAAAAACAATGAGTAAATAAATTTGACCTAATCTGTGGTACTTAAACTGAAAACAGTTCCGAAAAGCATGTGCAGAAGCAGGTAGCTTACCACAATGAAAGTGTTGAAGAATTAGCGAGAGCCATGCTTGCTATACCAGTATGTCATAAAAAAGTTTACTGTTCTTAATTGTGTGCTATTATTATTTTCCAGTTGTCCTGCTAACACGGGTGGTGATTTCTGTACCATTCTCACTTGTGATCCCAACCCTTGTCTAAATGGTGGTACATGCTTTGAAGATACAGACGGTATTATATGCATCTGTCCAAAGGCTTATACTGGTGAATTTTGCTCTATCAAAAATGGAAATGATGGGGGTGGTCTATCAGCAGCAGTAATTGCTGCAATTTGCATCGGTTTATTATTTTTACTCGGTAAGTTTCAAGTAAGATTCTAATTCCAATTTAGAGTTAAATTTCACTTTATTGTGGTATATGTGACTAGTAAGTATTAATTGAAAAGCATTTAATAATTAAATAATATGAATTTAATATTTAATAGATATGAATAATTATTAAATTCTTTATTTTTTTTAAATGTCTTTTGACATTAATTGCTTCTTTTTGTATAGCTGTTTGTGTCTAATCTACTCTCTGGCCATTATATCTTAAGGATGTTTCTGAAACAATTTGCATATGAAATATATAACATATAAATGTTTATCAGTGGGGTAGATTCAGCATAATAATTAATTGTGCTTTTCAATTAATGAATTTATATTGTATCATCTCTCTAGTTATGCTAATCATCATATTCATGTTGTATAAGAAACATAAGGAGGCATATGATGATATTAACACCAAGGGCATCAAGATAACTACTGTGAGAAACTCTACGTATGAAACTGGTGGAGGTATCAAGACATCTAGTGAAGAACCAGCACAGCTTCCGCCACGTGAGTGCTGGTCCAGCTAAATCAAGCATATTGTGTTCCAATATTAAGCTTTGTTTCCATATAGTTGCTACAGGCTATCACTGACAGTTTTTGGTGATGCTGATTGGTCAGTCGTATCGGGAAGCCTTCCTGATTGCATCGGGAACTGCTACACAGTACAGTGATTGTACTAAAAAACTGTAGCGACAGCGTAACAATTTTGAGGAAACTAGGCTTTTTCGTATCAATGTTAAATTCTACATTGAAGAAACAGTAATGCGTTGGTAACGACCATTTCTATCGGGGGCACTAAGCTCAATTGACAAAAAAAAAAAGAAATATCATTTCAGTGATGTAAAGCAACTAAACATAGATTGTAGATTTTGTTTTACCATACTTTGGAAATATGACAAACTGAAATTTATTACAGCGTGCAATGATTGTTATGATGTGGAAACCAACTCAAAATAGATTTCTGACTTTTTTCCCCACAGCAGTCTTTATTTTTATTTGCTCTACATCTGCAATCATGGAGGAAATAAATTAAATCTACTTTTTCCCTCCATGCTGCAATTTTATACCTGTAGGCCATTTTCTTGACAATTCATATTTGTATTTCAATTTTAATTGTTCTTTTTGTCGGAGCTTGCGAAGGAACTTGTTCTTCATGGGATATTTTGGGTACTCATTAGGCCGACCAGCCCTCCTTAAACTAACGTTAGAATACCGCACTTTCGGCGGTAAAGAACAATTAAAACCTCATAAAAAAGGCATCTAATCCGTTTACCCATAATTGAATCCAATGACACCAGTGTATAACACTCAGTACTTATCCTTGATAATGTGTTAATCCAATAAATATGTTGAGATAACGTAACGTTAGTTTATCGAGGGCGGGTTGAGCTAAAGGAGTGTGTACAAACATCATGGCTTTATAGCTCAGCTGGATGGGTAAATGAAATTTATATTCAAAGATGGGGGATTGGTTAGTTTGGGGAAGGGTTTTGCTTTATTAGTCAATTTAACACAGGATTTCAAGCAGTAGTTTATGTGACTTGTGCTTAGTTGGCTTGCAACTTCTGAACTATATTTTATTTGTTTGATATTTGTATTGTTTATCTGTTACAGTGACTGAGCTGCCTTATGATTATATACCTGTCATTAATGTCGACGACGGCAACGCTGACCATGCAGATGACCATCTCTACCACCACGTAATTTACAGCAGTATTCCTGACTCCCAGCCGACTTAACTCACTTGCAGGTGGTCTGCAAAACTGTTGTTTAATTTCATGCCAGTAATTAATATTGCTAGGAAAATTCTATTTAGAATTTGTAGGATGAAATTATCATTCATTCAAACTATAGAATATTACAATTTTTGTTCAGTTTTGTTCACCTTTTGAAGTTGATAATTTATGCACGAATTTAAAACTTAGTAGTGAGTTAGATCTATTTTTGTTATTTGAAGTCGATAAACCTGGAAAGTCAGTAGCATCAGTAGCTTTATATATAATAATTATAACCCAGTATGAATATTTATAGAATCAACGGTGTTTCTACGGAAAGTTTTTTAAGTTTTAATGTATAATTCAGTATTTTATAGAATCACAGCTGATTACCTTATAGGTTTTTCTATGTTTTTGTACTGTATTGTGTATTTTATTTTTGTTTCTCATAATAATAATAATAATCAAAATAAGCAATTAGTAGAGCTCCGCATAGTACACTATAGGAAAATTATTGTACGAAGGTTAGATTTAATGCTTGAAAAAATTTTCTGAGGGCCTGCAAGGCCCGAAGGAAATTTTTGAATGCATTAAATCTAACCTAAGTATAATAATTTTCCATTTAGTGTACTATGCATGCTCTATTAATTGCTTTATAAGTCAATCGCCGTCTTTTAATGTTAGTTTTTTATAACCAACTGTTGTAGCAGCCATCGGTTGCTATAGTGATATGATCAGTATACGTGTGTGTATTTACATTTAGCTCTGCGTATGCTGATTTTTGCTCCTGCAGTACGCGTTTAACTCATCTAACATCAGCAGAACAGTACGGATACGATGAATAACTATTGTGTTAGAAAGAACTTGTTTGTAATGCTATATTGATAGATTTTCGTCAAAGAAATAAACATTTCAGCATTCGAGTGGGAATACAGTCACTGACGTCCTTTTTGGTCGGTGTATGCAGACAGGTAAAATCGTGCGATGATTTCATAACAGGCCAGGCTACAATTCATAGATGCAATATAATTTTTTAGTGTTGTGGTCAAATTATTGTCTAATTATGAAATTACAGAAAATGTTATAGATTGAAAAACGATAATTGGAAAATATTACAAAGTGAGACAATTGCAACAATTGTTACAAAAAATGACAATTCAAGAGTTGAATGTTAATATCTCTATCATCAGTGCCTCTTGCATTATTTTTCGCACAACATAAAAGCAAAGATACTAGAAACACAAGATAGAGCACTCGCAGAGTAAAAATGAGGCGGAAATCGTGCCCAACATAGGCGGCGCCCTTCTTTTTAACCACGCAAGTTTACTTGCTTCGTGCTTGACGTACAGGGCGTCCTTCTGTTGCTAAGTATATATTTTAAGTGCAATGCAATTTTAAATGATTTGTTTGACATTTTTACATTGAATATTTTAAGATAAATTTTAATGCTTATCTGAATATTTTTATATCTCAAATACCTTTTAAATTAAATTTTCTCATTTATTGATTTTTACTCATTATCCTATTTTTCAATATTTATCTTTCGATTTTTTATCTTTCTGAAGAATTTTATATTGTATGTATTGTTTTTCTTGTAAAGGGCCTCCACTCGACAGTGATTGATTTTACTTTTGGAGTGTCCTGTCTGTTTTTTGTACTTTTGTGATTGTTCCTTGCCGTTTCTATTTATGTACATTCTAATTGTTTGAGACAAATAAATGAAATGAAAGTATATCCAGACGCACAGGGCGCCCTTCTTTTTCCACTAATGGAGGAAAACTTTATCACTAGAGTGCGTCCGGCCATACGATTTTGGGCTATTGTTGTTTTCTATACTGATCCATAGGCTTAATTGTGTGTTTTATTTGGATAATAGCAACGATTCCTACCTCCAAGGAATTATGTATTCACCGTTGTCAATGTCTGGGTACAATTGTGTACAATTTTTAAATTGAGAATTGACAATAAAATACGCAACGACTTGGTAACGAAAGTTTGGTTAAAGTTTTTTTAGATCCAGCCGTAAGGGGCGTCCCATTGTTTGTATTCCCACCATGCATTTCGGTGGAACACTTTTTTTGTGTGGAGAACTCTATCTTGTGTTTATAGTATCATTGATAAAAGTCACGAGCATCCATTTCTTAACCGTTTGATCTATCCATTGTTCAGTGTTTCACTTTTGACTTTTCGTATGCTTAGTACTCGGCTTTGTCAATATTTTTGTAAGTTTTTCATATTTGCCAAGGACTCCAACAAAGCATGGAGATACTAGTCTAAGTTACCTTTAATATATTTTGGAAATGGAAATACATAAATCTATTTTACTTACATTATTGAGCCCATCTTTACAAAAACTACATTATATCAGTACCGATAAGGTTGTATTTCCGTACTGGCGAATGTCCTTTTTCTTTCGCAGCTCTGAAACTTTGTAATTCTCTTGCACCCAAACTTGGATTAACTTCGATACTGGTGCATTCAATATCCGCTTTAAAACTTACGTCTTTAATCAGTAATTGTTATAATGACAAATACCATTTATTCTAATTGATGCTATACAAATTCTCCAATATTATCATTATCAATGTATCAATCTTAGTAATGTACCATCGTTGGAAAATAGTCGTTTAAGTTATCCGAGAAGAGAATCGAATTTTCCCAACCGGTTCCAACTTACAACTTTTACTGCTAACACTCGAAATCAAACAGTAAAAACCGCAATACTAATAAATAATCAGATATAAAAACATCGGTTTCAATATATTGTGGAATATGTTCCTTTGGATAAAACTAATTTGTCATTAATCTGTCGTAAAATAGTTTCTGTCTCTTATACACATCTAGATGTGTATAAGAGACAGGTACTGTGTATACAAACATCATGGCTTTATAGCTCAGCTGGATGGGTAAATGAAATTTATATTCAAAGATGGGGGATTGGTTAGTTTGGGGAAGGGTTTTGCTTTATTAGTCAATTTAACACAGGATTTCAAGCAGTAGTTTATGTGACTTGTGCTTAGTTGGCTTGCAACTTCTGAACTATATTTTATTTGTTTGATATTTGTATTGTTTATCTGTTACAGTGACTGAGCTGCCTTATGATTATATACCTGTCATTAATGTCGACGACGGCAACGCTGACCATGCAGATGACCATCTCTACCACCACGTAATTTACAGCAGTATTCCTGACTCCCAGCCGACTTAACTCACTTGCAGGTGGTCTGCAAAACTGTTGTTTAATTTCATGCCAGTAATTAATATTGCTAGGAAAATTCTATTTAGAATTTGTAGGATGAAATTATCATTCATTCAAACTATAGAATATTACAATTTTTGTTCAGATGAACAAAATGCATATCCAGTGCTTACATAAAATTCAACTACAAAAGAGCACACACTAAGCAACAATATAAAGAAGTAATACACCTCATTACAATTGAATTTATTTTTTTTTAAATCGATGCGTTTCTTCCATGCAGACCGAGTATATGTTTTACAAAAATTATCAACCACTTTGGCAGAGTGTTCACAAATGGGAACAGAATCTCCACCTAGAATGAGTTGTAATTTATCATCTGTGTTCGAAGTTGTCCATGTTTTAGGACCATTTCGAGAGAAAGGTCTTTTTTAAGGATCATCAGCTCTTCTTTTCTATAAAGAGCTTTACAATTAAAAAGTATTTAACATCTTCGAGCTCACCGTTTTTACATTGCGTGCAAGGACCTGAAACATCTTTAAACTATTTTGAAGTTTTACAGTCAAGAAGTAACGTATTATATCGAATTTTAAAACTTAAAACTTAAAATTTATTTTTATTTGTCAAGTAAATCTGTTTCTAATTTCAGGCGCGGATCCAGACCTTCGCAGAGGCGAATGTCAGGATGAGAAATAAAAATAAAATTTTGACCATTTTTTCAACAATAATACCTGCATTCATTGACTCTTATTTTGAACATTACCATTAGGACATTGTTTAAATCCACACTAGCCTATATCTTACACTTTTACACTGATTGTACTGTAGGCTCTACCAGAAAGGTACTTGCCCATTACACCATGGTCTTCCATTTCTATAACGCATGATACAACGTTACGTAACCACTAACTCGGAGTCGCTCAGCTCAGTCGTACATGTGTCTATCTTATTGGCATTGACACTGTGTGTTTTTAGTTGTTTTAAAGTAATAACCTATCAGACATTCACAAGAACGACTAAATGAATGAAAATATATTTCTATTAACTATTTCTATTGTTTTCAGCAACAATGGCGTATCTAGGATTTATGGAAGGGGTCAGGGCCAACCACGAGAATTGAAGTGGTCAGGACCAGGCTGCGAGCACTGAGGTTGGGGGCCAGTGGGCCACTGAGGGCTATTTTTTCATTGTATAGGCCCCTACACCAATTCTAATGTTCTGTAGTAGAAATCTAATATATAGTTTAAAAATATTGTTTTATATAAAAATATGTTTTAAACTAACATGATCAGGGCTATGATGTAGGAAAAAAATAAAATAAAAAAAACTTTGAATTAAAACAGGCAGGTTTATTCAAGAGAATGCTTGTTACTCACAGCATTGTTGTTATTTTACATATTTTGCCTTTTGACATTGACAAAAAGATAAGATTAGACCTATGAACGAAAAATAATATTGCTATGGTACACTTTCAATCAATAGGCCTACATGAAGGCGGATCCAGACCTTTGCGCCGTTCGCCATGGGAAGGTCCGGGTGAGAGATAAAAAAATATAAAGTGATTGCAGTGCCTGGTGGTCTGGCAAATTACAACTCTTTCTTTCAGAAATGCCATCTACCTCAACAAAAATGCAATGATTTTTTCATTCTCTAACTATCAATTAAAAGGAACTAATTAAATCGGTTGCGCGATGTAGGCCTACTGTTAAGCTTTTTTGTTTTTTAAATTTTGATTTATATGTCACGATGTATGATCAAAAAACAGGGAGAATAAATATGTGCCTTGATTCTTATAACCTTATTGGAAGGCATATAATTTTATTATATTTTGTTATTTTAAAATCACAGAAAAAAAATATGCATATTTAATTAATTTCCTGGTGGAAGTAAAATCACACCTATCAAGTTTGGTTTTTGTCAGGGTACAATATTGTTGAAATAATTGCATTTATTCTGCTTCCTTTAGGAATAAGTTATATTATGGCCAAGTTGTTATAATAATACGAACTTTAAACTGCAATATTATTATTAACTAAGACTAATCAACACATATGCCTAATATAAAACATGTACATATCAAAATTGTTATATTTAAACTTTCCTCGTCGGTGCGTGCATAAAACGATGTCGTGGAATTTGGATCTAACGTGTATATTGATATTGATAAACAATCGAAATTCTCTGTACTGTATTATGCTAAATATTTACAGAGTGGACTTCCTTATGTTGTAGTCATAATTATTAGGGTACCAGTACTTCACTGGCGCCACCATTTAAAGTGGTTGTTGCAATTGACCTCTCGATGTGCTTTATAAATGTAGGCACTCCAGTAAGTAACGCCTGCGCTCTCGTGTGGTTGCAATTTCCACAGGGTCCACGACCCCTAGGGCCCTAATCACAAATACATCGGAGGTGTTACATATTGGATATAACAAGAACATCCAATACTTAATACCTCCAATAAGAAAAGATTCATCTTTCTTTCTATTTAATTTTAACTCATATTGGGCGTAGCCTTTTTACTCGATGTGATCCTGCACAAAAAAAAGTTGCTGTAAACGGTGTTCCAGCATTTAAATATAATCTAATTACTGTATTTAAAGGCCTGAAACAATGAGTGTTTAAAGACTTGAAACATTATGAGGAAAAATTATGCACGAGCATTCGTCCGCTCAATGGATTCTTGAACCAGTTTTCTTATGTGACCGAATATTATTTTTTATTGTATAAAGAAATATACCGGGCGTAGGGAGGTTATGCCTATATAGGGCCTATATGTTTACAATATAATATGATTACTGTATCTATTTCGTATTTTTCTGTACAACGATATGCAGCATAGCATAAACCTACCTGATAACTGCGCTATTATCGTTGCGGTATGAGCCGGGCTTTTCTTAATTATTTCCGAAATTATCATAACTTCCGGTTCTCACCACCAATTGTTTGCCTAAATCCGGGCAATGACCTTGGGTGACTGAATTTCTGTTCTGTCATACAACAACGTTATGTCTTTGCTATGTAATAAGTAATCGCCATGTGTACTGTACCGATTCCTGTGGTTTTCCTAAATATATACAGTATAACAAATTACCGTTCCACTAAGCCACGCCCCTTAGTTAACTAAGTATAATGTCCCAAAAACGACAACGTATCTCATGCGTTTGTGGAAAAAACACATTTTTGTGGGACTAGTGCGTATTATTGGTCCTGTTTCACCCAGCCCCGCCCCTTGAATAGTTTTGCTAATTATAATTTTACGTAAACGTACGTAAAACCATGCGTTTGTGGAACAACAATTGTGTTTGTGGGACAGGCGCGTATTCCTGGTAGCCCTGCTCTAAATTGATCAGTTTGATGTACAACTGACCACAGAAGAGTAGGCCTACGCGCCTTACTCACAAACACACGTGTGTACGTACGTTGAAGGTGGGACTGGACTTGGTGAAACCGCACGGACTTTTTTTAGTAATTTGTGAACTTCCAAATCTCGTGTTTCAACCGTGGGGGTAATCACAGGGGTCCCAAGTCTTTCCGCGTATTTGGGGAGTCTCCCGGTAATCGTGACGGCATCCCACACTCTCGCAAGGCAAGCACAAATCCTGGAAATCAACCCATCTCCTCCCGCAAATTCGTACAGTATTTGCATTTTTTTTTACTACTTCATGTTTTAATTATCTCATTGAAGTCAGTGCCGATGGGTCAGTGATGGCGCCAGAAATTTGCCGGCAAGGGGTCAAACAAGTCTGAAGGAGGGTCTGAGCCAAGGGGCCGAAGAAGCTTCAGTCGACGGCCCGGAATATAAACTTCCTTGTAGGGTTTATGGGCAGATTTTTTATGGCTTAGTATATGCTTCAAAATGTGCTTTTCACAATACAGGTCTCCCTCTAATGAACCCCTCCAATTTAAGACCACCCAATTAAAAAGCACTTTTTCTGTGGTCCCAAGTTAACAATGTCTTATTTTTATTATTCTAATTAGAGATGAACTCTGCTAAAGACCACGAAAACCCCAGTCCCAAAATAACGTTATTGGATTATAATTGTTTTTTATATTTTTGATCCGACGACCTAGTCGTGCGTCAGTTGACGGGTGGGGGTCCTGGCCTTTCCGACGTGGGGGATTCAACCTGCTCCCCGCTGGCGCCACCACTGCGATGGGTGTAACAATGCTCAGCTAAATAAAATTTAAATATGTCATATATGGAAGCTCATGTAACCAGACCCCTGTAACCATATTACTGCTCTCACACACGTCTTGTCGCAAAAGAATCTTGAACATGGTTTCAAATCAGATTCTTGAATACCAAGTCTTTGATTATGTCAATGGTTATGTCGTCACGTCGGCGTCACACGTCAACGCCTTCCCTCAACATTAACAATGATAGATTTCCGTCTCGGGTCATCCAGGAGAAACTTCGACGCTCACACACAAAGCAAATATCAATCACAATATATAATATAGTCAGTGCAACCAGTGTGTATAAGCCGGAATTGTTTACACGGTTATGACGTATTGTTTGCATTAAAGAAATACAGTACCAGTGAAAACACAGTGCCGTAGTGTACTTTGAACAGTCGATGTTTGTGAGAGTTGAAATCTACAGTGATTAACCAAGTTTCATTCTTTCAATATCCGTGTGTTTGATCGTCTGCGAGAAAATTCCCCTCAGAATTTGAGATTGTTTCGGCTGGCAAAATGAGACATAAACTACCAGCATGCTATGGATTTATGCTTTTTATTGTATGCTGTTTAATATTAGTGGTTAAAACTCGATCAGAAAATAGGATTGTCTATTCGAAAAATACTGAATTTGAACGCGAACGTGAAGTAAGTCCGATTCACAGAAAACGCAGAGAAGTTCGGCCAGATATCAATGAAGACGTCTATGAGAACGCAACGATTGGATTTGTAGTTTATACATTCAACAATACGATAAACAATCGATATGTAATGAAAAATTATAACCCTCGATTTGAAGTGAGCGGTAATGAAGTTATTGTTAAAGAACAGCTAGATTATGAGACTTCACCAGAAGAAACAGTGACGGTTGTATACTGGAATTCAAATGCACCAAGTAAGGATTGGCTATCATTTTAGTATTCTAAGCTTGGCCTATCTTGTAATCGTATACACTTGCTCGATATTGATTCATTATACAGTAGGCCTATACACTATAAATTGTCAATGTACGGCTTCTCGCGACAGCATATAGGCCTACCTCCTCTTTAGCTCGATCCACCCGTTGAACTTTCCCGTAGACCCACTGTGGTACAGGATTCAGAGTTTGGATTCGAAACTACGAACCCCTCCTGTTATTTTGTAGGAGGCCTAAGCTTACTGAATTGATCTCCCAAAAATAATCAACAGGTGTCTGTTTAGTGTTCATGTTGCAACTATTAATTCAACACACTTAGTTTGTGCTACATTAAATAAAGCCTAACATGGTCCAAGTTCACATACCAAGACAGACAGTCCTCCAATGTCGTGTTTATTAGGGTAATAACTGCCAATATATATGCCTCTTCATTCCTAGTATTTGTATATTATATGACACCAGCACCATTATAATACTGCTACTGGGCTGTGTTTTTAGTCCAACGAAGAACAGCTAGTGATGCCTACGGGGTGGGGGGTTGGGGGTATTTTAAAAATCAACTGTATTACTTTATTTTGCCATCAGTACCCCTATATCTTACATCGCGCTCCCTTCGCGTAACATTCGAGCCCCAGCGTCCCTCCTTCCCATTATGTCTATGCCAGCATCCCAGATACACCACCTAAGAGGATCACATTTTCCAGTCTGTAAGAACTGGGATTATCTGTTGTTACGCCGTATGTTGTATGTTAATTACGTGTATGTTGTACGCCGTTTTAAGGTCTTTCCTACAAATGTTCTGTAACAAAAACCTGTTGTATGCCTCTCATGATGTGCCTATATCTGGTCATGATGTGCCTATATATGGTCACGATGTGATGTCATCATAACTGTATTTAGGCATGTCACATGTTTTTGTAAAATCAAATTTGATAGTTTGTGGGCCTACAAGGCTTTAGTGTTGAAAGTACACATACAATGTCGTCAGTTAAAGCAGCAGTATACTTGATTTGTACATTTTCAAAGTGTTTTATGTAACTTACGTTTTTTAAGCGCAGTGCAAAGATATGCCAATATGGAACTGTAACTTTATTAAGTGGCGGTTCTTAACAACACAAACACACATTGACAAGATGAACGTAAATGTCTAAGTCTCATTATGAAGCTCGAGCCTAAATCAGTTGTTTTGGTCGTGAGAAAAATAAAACTGTTACAGTGACAGGAACTGAACAAAGGATTAGACTGAAACCAAAAGTAGGGGAAAAATTGTGGTTATGCTCCTTTTCTCCCTGTTTTTAAATATTCAAAAATCTGTAGCTCATTATCCGTTCCCGAGTTTTTCGTCCAAACACCATTTTTCTGTCTTAAAAAAAAATCAGTTTTAGAACATACCATTTTTTTCCTCCGGAGTCTGTCTTTTACAGATCTTAATTACTAATTGAGCTCCTCCTCGAGTAGAGAAGTGCTGATCCCTGTCTCTTATACACATCTAGATGTGTATAAGAGACAGGGGTGACTGAGAGTCAACACCACCTCAGCCCCACCATGGTTGGAGCTGAGACGCGAACATTTTGAGAATAACATGGACCTTTAGGTGCCAAGAAATTGCACTCTCATACCGAAAAAAATCTTTTGTACGCGTTCTGTATCCAACACGATGTGCGTTCCTGTGTATAATGTTGTATAATACAATTAGCAGCCTCCTATAGTATTTAACTTAACTTTTTTAGCAGTTGAATTTCATGTAACTATTTTTTGAAAATTATTTCACTACTTTATATCCAATTTCATATTATCCTGTAATAATTTACTATTTTTAAGCAGTTCTTTAATCCTTGTCGATAGTCGGGAGCCCTCGATAGCGAGCATTTTTCAATTAGCGATCCTGCTATGTAGACCCTTTAAGTGGCTCCTGTTATTTTGGCGAAATAAATGATATACCGGTATCATACTAAAGGTTTCTTTGCCAAAAATCATTCCTATTATTATTGTTTATAGTAATAGGCCTATATATTAAAATAGTATTATGTCAAATTATTTTCGTTTGGAAATTGAGAGTAGGCCTACACTATCACCGTCATAAAATTATTTAAAAAGTAAAGGCAATCATTTGTCTTCTTAATTCACTGTTCTTGTCAATTCCGTATCATTTTTCCCTGCCTACTTTATATCAAAATTAGTGCTGGCAGTCCAATAATCATCAACCGTATCATTACTTTTAGCCTTGGCCGGCTTTACCGATTTCAAGATCCGTAAATATCCGGATTGTTGTTCTTTAAAATTGAATATGAGTGAGCCCACAAATCTTATATTATTAATTTGATTATTACTATTTATAAATATTAAAATAGTGAAGGTCAGTTGGCCGTAATATATAGGCCCTAAACTGTTGTGTAGGTCAAAATTTAAGAGCAAAACATAGCTTTTTTGACAAAGGCAGGTCTTTTCAGTCATAGAATAGACGAACCTTTAACATTTCATTTATAATTTCAATGTAATTTGCATTAATTATCAAGCGCGTGTGACGTGATCACGCCCAAGTATTCGACTTCTAAAGATAAATTCTAAATCACGCTTTTGATATTAAATAGTTATCAATTAAGTAATAACATCATAAACACAATTAAACATGTGAAAATACTGTGTAATGTAACTAACTCGTATACTTTGCATGTGTTCATCGGGTTGGACACAAAAATGGACGGTGTTTGCCACGCAAACCGAGGAGCGGAATATCGCAACTCTTTATAATAGGCTATATGGCTCTGTTTTTAAGCCGCGTGCACCGCCCCCACTCCGCGCACCCTGTTGATACGCCACTGGTGTAGTTAAGGAGGGAGGAATTTTATACACCTCTGAAGCAGTTCGTTTGGGATAATAGAGGGATAGAGGAATCGTGGCGAATACCATTATAGTGGAGTTTGCTGCTTTGGTGGTTAATGGTTGCATTTTCAATAATATTGGGTTCAATCAATAAACTAAATGTGGCGACTAAAATTAACACTTCTTCCCCTAAAGTGGGAATTCCGGTAGCCTAATATATATGGTTATCACAGGGTAATATAACTACTGTTCAAAGTATATAACTCATTGTTAAGATCAGCATATTCATACACTCCTTTGTGGCGAGACCCCTTTTGGTAAAAGGAAATAGACCACAAAAATGAAAATCCAACAAAAATTTCTTTTTTAAACCGGACCTAAGCAAATAAATCGTCATATATAACCTGTGCATCTTATCAGCATAACAACGAATGCATTGAATTGTGACTCAACAACAAAATCAATTCTTTTTTATTTGAATCAAACACATAAACAACGCCGCTTTCAGATGCACATAATAGGCTGCTGATTCACTATTCGTTTCCTCATTCCGCGTAAAAGTTTGCACATTTATTTTAAATTCTTTATGTTTTTTCCTTTCTCCCTTTTTATGTTGTTCTATTGGTTGTGTGAAACAAGGTTCTGTCAATTCAAGCCAATGTTATGTTATGTTCGTGATATGATTAAGCTATGTTATGTTAAGTTTGTTTCGGTTACGAAATGTTTACTTGTTCCTGGAGTTCACAAGTTAGTGTGTTTTTGTCGTATCAGCGCAGTGAGGAGCAGACACACTCATCAACCGCTAATTCTGGGTGGATGGAACCTGCAGATTTCCCGGGGTGCCCCAAAACCCAAGCGAAATGGACCGCGAAGGATTCAAACCTCAACTCGAGGATGGTAAACAGTGGCGGATCTAGGATTTAACAATAGGGGTGAATAATGCGAGGTGCGAAGCACCGAGTTTGTGGGTGATGGGGGGGGGGAGGGGGTGACGTGGTTTCGGCAAGGGCGCAGATGTGTTTTGAAACCTCAGGGCCACCATGGTTTGGCCTGAGGTGAGCAAATTTTAGGAAATAGTACCGTACCTCTCCATGGCCAGAGATTCATCATCATCACTTCACCAGAGTCAAAATGAAGCGCCAACAAATTTCTTATGATCTTTTACCATCGATTTTCGGAAACCATAGAAATTAATATGCGTGATGTACCATAGAAAATAAAACTTAAACACATTGTCTTTGATATACTAACTTCCAAGCTGTGAGTCCGTACATCCACCTCAGCCCCACCATGATTAAGGCGGAGGTGAGAACATTTGAGGAAATAGTACCTCTAGATGCCTGGAAATGAAACTTTAGAAAAATAAAAATTCAAATGGAAGGGGACGCCCACCCATAAAAGCCCATGGGCGTAGATCACGAGGGATAATTCCCCCATATATTTTTAGAAGGGGGTGTCATGTGGTCCCCTTATTTTTCATTCGCTATATAATTTTGTAAGTCAAGAAGATGCCTGAAAATTGTTGAAATTAACTGCATAAATGGCCCAGGTTTTAATGGAATGAAAGAGCGCTGTACAATACCGATATCTCTGGCCATACAAACATCTGAATTACGTATAACACACGAGTGCGCGTGCGTTTGAAAAAGCGTGTAATAATAATAATAGTTAATAATATAATAAGATTGGTTTTAAATACCTCATAGACAATTCAGTTTTATTTTCTATGGAACATCTCAGCTATTAGTTAAATCGATGAAGATGAATTATAATGCAAGAGTGTCATTTCCAGCAATCTAATGTACTATTTTCCAAAATTTTCCCCAAATAAGGTGTGGACTCACGGCTTTGAAGTAGTTAGGCCTAAAGCTATATACATTAAAGACAATATTTTTAAGTTTCATTCTATAATGCATCACCACGTGTAATTACATCTCTGTGGTTGCCGAAAATGGCTAGTAAAATATTAGAAGTTTGTTGGCACCATTTTTAACAATATAATGTTGATGTGATAATGAATTTTACTATATAAAATTGTCATTTCTGGGCCTCTAGAGGTATTATTTTCTTAAATTTTCTCACCTCAGCACCACCATGATTGGATATGAACTCACGGCTTTCAAGTTTAACAGTAAAATACATTAAAGTTTTCAAGT